CCCGTGTACAAGCCCCCCTTGTGTAAGCCCATCAAAAATTGCTTACGAAAGAATATAAGCCCAGTGCTTTTAGGTGGAGGTTTACGGTAGATTGTCAAAAAACTGCAGAACTGTAAGATGGTGTCCATACATGGGATATACTTATGGTATAATCAAGTGATATATATACATGGTATAATAGTGACGAAAACACATGCAGTACAGGAAAACATGGGTAGGGCCAGGACTGTACCACTACAAGTTCCCCAGCTCTATCCTTACATATAAAAGAAATATCAGTATTACACCAGACACCAATAAACAATTTTGCAGCTTCTGCTAAACATTTTCTTTCAATGTTTTTTAACCCATTGAGTATTTGAGTGTCAGCACTCTCCCCCTGATGAGTAAATAGTCTATTGTTAGACAGTAAAATAATCTGGCATTAGGCAGAGTAAAATAATAGACAACTGGTTGATCATTTGAGCATATATAACTGGTTGATCAGAAATATCCTTGCAACGCATCACACAGTAGTCAATAGATTTATATATAGTGTTGCGATAGTGTTGAATTTCCTCCATTTCATACAACGCTTCTTCCATCATTCTGTGTGTATGAATGTCTGTCAGGGCAAACAGGGTTTATTGGCAATATAAACAGTTATACAATCAGTTGGCTGATGTAATTCTGTTGGTGGAAGTACACTATCCAGCTCATCATCTTGACTATCTGGGTCACATGGTGGGATTGCTTGGGATGTTGGTGATGTTGAAATGTCAAACTCCCAACAACATAACATTGTTATATTCTTTGTTTATACCTCCTTCCCGTAGATCATTAGGGTCGAAGAACTACATAATATGAAATAAAAATACGTTTAATACTGCTGTATTTATTTATATTACAACATAGGAGCATTTTTATATTTCTATTTTTATATAAAAATCATCTCACCTTAAAAACACAACTAGAGTGAATTTGTACCAGTGCAGGACTACCGCAATCAGCGAACAATTTCATCAATTTTTATCCCGTTAACCACAGCTGGACAAAGGACTATTCTTCCAACTATCCGTAAAACTATAAACATGAACCTCACGACATTCAAGTTCATCACGGTAATTCTTCCGGAATCAAGATTAAAGGCTGTTTTGACACACAGTGAACACACAGAAGCTCGTGTCCACCCAAAAACGAAGCTTTCTTTCCATGCGTAGTGCAAAAATCAACCATTTTACAATTTATTTTCGATAAATCTTTTCTGAATCTCTTAAAACCTCGAGGTGTAAACACAGCGAAAGCCGACCGAACAATGACGGCGCAGAGCGAGAAATCGATAATATGTAAAAAACCGCGCCTGACCGCGTTGCATGCCGGTATAGTCCTCACTCCTCCTCTGCACTTCGCTGATGTTTTCTCAACATATCGAAAATTCTTCACTGATTTGACTAATTAACATCACTCAAGAGTAGAATTGCATTGCAAGTTGCAAGAAAAATTGCACCGTGTAACATGGCCTTAAGTGTCATTAAATAAATGCATAAATTTTGCTTTATGCACTCGCGTGTGCAGTAATTTTGACAGTTGTGCTATTTTAAATTCCCAGGCACCTAAAATCTTTTGTCCTTAAAACAATGTCGATTTCTTGGGAAATTCCGAGGTGCGTTTTTTTAATACACCATGTTATATTATTAGGAATGAAATATTTTATTCGGAAACGGTAATACCGCAGATGCTTAGTCTGGCCTGAAATGATTGTGACTACATTCCCGTACCAATGCGAGACTATTATTTTCTGCTATGCAACTATTGGCCCTCCGCCAGGAATCGAACTTGCGGCTCTGCGATTCCGGTGCAGCGCTCTAACCAACTGAGCTACAGAGAGACACTCTAACCAACTGAGCTACAGAGAGATACTCTAACCAACTGAGCTACAGAGAGACACTCTAACCAACTGAGCTACAGATAGATACTCTAACCAACTCAGCTACAGAGAGACACTCTAACCAACTGAGCTACAGAGAGACACTCTAACCAACTGAGCTACAGAGAGACACTCTAACCAACTGAGCTACAGATAGATACTCTAACCAACTGAGCTACAGAGAGACACTCTAACCAACTGAGCTACAGAGAGACACTCTAACCAACTGAGCTACAGAGAGACAACTGTCGAGCTCTAACCACAAGTTTGAGTGCATGTAAACACTTTGAAAACTCTTGAAAATTCACTTGTGAATGCTTTTTCATATTGGTGATTCTTATTTTTATATTCCAGCTAATGGTGATAACAATGGTCATGATAATAACTTTGGCAAGTCAGATACAGAAACTCGCTTGCAAGATATGGATACACCTGATTCTAATTTCCCAAACGTGCCTACTGCTGTTTCGTTGATTGCGCAAGACGTTGCGATTGAAGATATTTCTAATGACTCTGATCCAGAATTGTCCAAGGTACTGATTTGAGTATTGAATATAACGTCCAGATTTCCAGGGACATACTGTACTGTATTAATTGTCTGTGCTAATTTGTACAGAACACGCTGCAGCGAAGTAATTATACCACCAAAACTATTCCTGCCAGGGGGGATGCAATGACTTTTCTTCTGCTGTTGCGCTTCTGCTTAACTTGTCTAATGGGCTTCAACACCACCACAATTACTAAAACTGTCTGTACCAGTGTATAGGTAGTACCAATGTGAAAATGCTGTGCTGAGTGGTTATATTACTACCTTAAAAACAAGCAGAAACTCGACGTTTCGAGCGAAGGCCCTTCGTCAAGAGTAAGTAGCAGGCTACTAACTCTTGACGAAGGGCCTTCGCTGGAAACGTCGAGTTTCTGCTTGTTTTTTAAGGTAGTAAAATAACCAGCACCACAATTAGTAGCTGGTATGGTAAAACTTTATTTAAACACGCTAGCCTCGATCAACGTGAGCTGCTTTTCATGAGGGGCGTCACACAATAACTATTTACAAATTAAAGAGTATACACATTAAACTATATACAAGTTAAACTATATAGAAAAAACAAGGAAGCAAAGGATAATAGAAAAGCAATTATATAAAAACTTAACAATTGGTGCGATCCAAAGGAGGTGTTCATGCCTGACGTATTTTTCTTTTAAAAGAAGAAAGGGTTTCAGAATTTTTTAAATCCTCAGAAAGATGATTCCATTGCATGGCACCACTATATCGAAAAGTATTCTTTAAAAATTCACTATTAGGCTTAGGTAAGCATAGATCTGTATCGCTACTACGCAAGTCATAATTACATTGATTTGTGTTTCTTTTGCAGAAACACTCGTTTAGATTAAGGGCAGTGTGGTTATTAAGTATTTTGTACATCATTATTAATTTATTTTCCAAACGTTTCACATCAAGTGTTTGCCAACCGAGAGCATCCAAAACGTCAGTAGACCTAATATCATAACTGGCTCCAGTAAACACTCTAGCTGCACGGGATTGAAACTTTTGTAGTTTATCTTGAAGTGTTTTTCCACAGGTATCCCACAGAGGGGAACAATAATAAGTTGGGTTGAATTAATGCTTTGTAAATCGTTTGCAGAGTTGCAGGTGGGACAAAGAGCTTTATACGTTTCATAGCCCCAATTCCGGCACTGACTTCAGAACATATCATGGTTTCAGAGTTATATATCTATAAACAGTAAGAAGACAAAGCAAGTTAGATATTTTGACATTATGCACCGAAATACATGGCATTCTATCTTAGGCTTGATTACTAAAATGGAGCAAAATAAAAACGGAGCCGCTGTTCACACAAAGCCACCAAGCACTCCGTTTGGAGACCGTGCTCGGAATGTTACGGCAAAACCCGACGGCTTATTGTGACTTTTCTGCGCCGTTTTCAAACCGCTCCGTTGTAGTACAAACGTAGTCTTAACACTGAATCTTGGAAATAAATGCATTATATTTTTGCTTTTGACGATTATTTATTTTTGCTTTTGACGATCACAAAATCTTTTGAAACGTTGCATCTTTTGAAACGTTATCTCATTTGAATATTGCGCAAGCCGAAATAATTTATACCAACATGGCTGCAACGAAACATGGAATTACACAAATAAAAAGCTCTGAAACCATAACATGCTAACTAGTATAAGTTTCCTCAGGAATGAACAACATTTAGGATGAGCAAACCGAATTTAGCTTTCCACCTCCAATTTGGCAGACAAATTTTGTCGTCCAAATTGGAAGTCAAAAACAAAATCCAGTTTGTTGATGGCAAATGTTATTCAAATGTTATCTCGCTCGAGTAAACCTTTACAGTTGACTTGGACAGTGTAAGAAATCATGGTGGAGAAGAAGAAATCATCTTCATTGACTGTGGTTACAGTATATGTATACTGATTCCATATCAGCGTTTGCGCTAAATAACAGTGTTAACTTACAATATAATATTTTTCATCCAGTATGATGCAAATTTCATGAAAAAGATTCCCCCAGGAGCAGAGGGCTCTATGGTTCTTGTGGGAGAAGCAGATTTTCTTGCCAAGCCAGTGCAAGCATTTGTTCGTTTGGAAGATGCCCGAGTTATGGGTGATCTTATGGAAGTTCCTATACCAACACGATTCCTGTTCTTTATGCTTGGACCATCTGGACAACCGGGACGTTATCATGAAGTGGGAAGAGCCATTGCGACGCTTATGTCTGATGAGGTAAGGAATCAACTTGTATTCAAGAGCTTTTTTCACTACTGAATTTTCAATTTAGACATGACAGTTCCTTCTTTAAGGTAATTTAAGGAAAATTTACGATTTAAATCCATATTTTTGGACTACATGTTGAAAAACAAAGAGTATCTTACTTACAAAACAACATGTAAAGAATTTGATTTTTCACAAATGTAACGTAACAGTCGTTGCTATGGCAACAGTGACTTTTCAATATGGTGAATATATTGGCTTTAAAGTAGTTTTTAACTCGAGGAAGACTTCGGTGAACACCATATTCATAAAGTGTTTTTTTCACTATACTGAATTATTTTCATGTTCTGTATATTGGAAAAAAACAACTTTTGTCACATTTACCTAATTTGGAAAATTTTGGGTCGACAGATTTTTTCTCGAAATTTTTAAAACAGTTCAATAAATAGAAAACATTTTGTGAAATAAAATATGGGAGCACTGCTTCCAACTTTGTTTTTACTAAATATGTACGACACAACCTGCAATGGAGTTCCAAGTTTATTAAATTCTTTAGATTTAATCTGAAATAAACTGTAACTAAAACCATGGATTATAAAATAAATGGATAGGAAACTAGCTGACGTCACCTAATGTTTTCAATGGGCTGATGGCGTGATTGGATGTTGAAACCTAGTTGCAAACCAAATTCTCAAAAACGGCATGTTTGGCAATAATACAGCTAAACATTTTAGTCAAAGAGCAAATGAATATAACTACGCCATTCTACGATGAAGTCTCTAAGTATTCCGAGTCAATTTTAGCAAATATTTCAAGCACTAAACAGTGAAAAAGACATCCCAAATTTCGTTAAAATTGGGGACGCCAATTTCGTGGCTACAAATGTAAAAAAATACAAAACAAAGACGAAAAACATTTACCTTGAATACTTTATCGTGGCTTAGGCATGTTTTTAAAACAATTAGACCAGTATATGCTTCAATATTACTCTTTTAAAGCGGAAAGTATAGCGAAACAACAAAAATGTCGAGAATTTTGCAATACGCGTGACGTCACAGATTGCAACTAGGTTGTTTTTGCTTACGTCAGCTAGAGTCCTATCCATTTATTTTATTACCCATGCTAAAACAAAGCTGATTGTTCATTTTATTCAATTTGTTTTTAAAC